CCCAGGAGGTCTCCCATCCAGGTACTGACCAGGCTCACACCTGCTTAGCTTCAGTGGGTTGCCACTTCAGTTGCCCTTCAGTTGCAGGGTGATATGGCTGCTGGCCATATCAGTAGGTGGTGCTATTCCCACTGGTCCACAATTTTCTACGCCCCAATAATGCGACTGGATGAATTGTGCTGTAGGAATTACTTTCCTTCATAAGAGACGTTTAAACCAAAGTGCTGACTATTTAGTTATGAAAGTGTAGGAATATTAACTTTGTTATTCTGACTGATTTCCACCTAGGGCTTGCTCAGTCAGGTTTACCTATTGGTTTGATGCATACAGTAATTGCTGCTGTAGGCCACCCTGGTGTGTGCTACACTACTGTGGTTATTAAACTATTATCATCATCATCATCATCATCATCATCACAGGAAGTGCTCATCTTCCAGTAGTTTCACAAGTGACACCTTTTCTTTTTATTTGTATTGTTCAAATCCTCAGAAAAGAAAATGTTTTCACATATTTTTACATGACGCAAGATGTAAAAGTGTTTAGCCTTCTGAGCAAAGCAGAGATAATCAATTCCAGTTCCCGAAGGCCTGGAACTGCCTCTGATCTGAATGCTTTAACTGAACTAGATGTTTGAACAAGAAGTATAATAACTTATTTTAAGCTATCATACCTACAAACAACTAGAGCACTTACAAAGCTCAGTTGCTCTTTCCTGGTAGACCTGGCAGGTATTAGGTCCATAGAGACCAGAGTCCCTTTAAATAAAACTGTGGCAGAGATGCCACCTACTGGTAAGAGTAGATTTTAGCATTACAGGCATATCCCTTAGAATGCAACAACACCTTGCAAAGGTACTGTGGTGTCCCACTGTGTGAAATCAGAAAATGATGGCTACACATTTTTTATATGAATTTAATGTTATATTTAAAACCTGGATGTCTAAGGGTAAGATACGTTACAGTTAATGACAGCAACAATTAAAGAAAAAAAACTGAAATATGTTGATTAAATAAGCACTCAACTTCTGAAATATGTGATGGAGCACCGAATTCGTTTTGGATAAGTCTTTAACAACTTTCCACACCAACCTGGTGCAATGTTTGACCATTCATCTTGACACATTTGTTCAAGCTCTCTCAAGCTACTTGTAGAACTCTTATAGACAGTGGCTTTCAAGTCTTTCGACAGATTCTTAACAGGATTCAAGTCAGAACTTGAGCCAGGTCTTAAATTTTCTTATTCTTATGCCACTCCAGTGTAGTTATGGCCTTGTACACTGGATTATTGTCCTGCTGAAAGGTGGATGTTTGTCATGACAGGAAGCTTTAAAGCAACAAAACACGAAATCTACGCAAGTCTGAATACTGATGCAAGGCACCATACATTTTGGAATTTTTTTTTTGGTACCATTCACTTTTTAAGAAGAGAAATGTCTAAGAAACTATATAAGGCAGTTTAAGGCAGCAGTAGGATTAGGCTAGAATTCTGCAGTTCTAAATGGATGCCCTGCTTTAGAAATGTGCACATATGCTTATATACTTTGAATATAAGCATTGTTCAAACATATTAATGATTCTAAACTAGGACTTTGCTAAGCATATTTATATGAATCATGCTTTTTATTCGATGAGAAACTTCTAGAAGGTACTTTGCTAACTGCAAGAGCAATATACAGTATATACTTCAGAAAACAATGATCAAAACAATCATCCATCTTCTCCACAGAAGACAAACCTTGCTCTTCCATCCTTTTGACTGACATCGACATGGGTAAAACTTCACTGTCACAGCCCAATAGATCATACAGAAGTGTTAACTGGTAACATCAAAATAATGAGGCTTTCTATAACACAGTGCTACGATACAGAGGCAATGGTTTAGAAATTCTTGTCCAGAAGGAATAATACCACCTGTGGTCCAACAATTCATTTAAAGCAGGTGAATATGGTATCCAGGTGTGCCTGTAGCTTATGAAATCTAATACTACAAGGATACAAGCTGAAAGCTAAACGTATGTTTTCAAGAATAACTATTTTTCACTTAAGTCTAAGCAAATATATATTTCTCACATTTTCTGTAATTATTTAGCATCGTCAGCTTTGCATCCATCCATTTTTAACTGCTTTATCCTGTACAGGGTTGGGGGACGCCTATCTCAGCAAGCAATAGGCACAGGGTGCAATACACCCTGGACAGGAAACCAGTCAACTGTTTATCAAATTTAATTAACCTACCAGCATGTCTTTTAAACTGTGGGAGGAAACCAATCCAACAAACCCTATGCGAACACAGGGAGAAAATCTAAACTCCACACATACAGCAACCCCAGGAATTGAACCCAGAGCCCAGCTCTGCGAGGCAGCAATGTGAACCATGTGGCATCCTGCTGCTCACAGTGTCAGTTTGTGTTCTGTAATCAAAATAAAGCAGCAGCCTTATTAAAGTCTGTGATTCCTTTAGGAGGGATTACTTCCAATGTCTCCTACAACAGACAGCCGAGAATGACAGGGAGCAGGTTGACTCACCTCTATAATGATCTGTCTCTCCAGCAGTGTATAGTGGTCCTGAACATGACTGGCATCATCTGCTGAAAATGGAAGACTAAAACAAACCCCAAACATTAGTACAGAAACCACATCCTATTCTATGCTATTTGAATGAAGACTAACAACTTAAAAGTTCAGCTGTTTCTCGAAGAGTGAGCAAGAAAGTACACATTCTGGTAGAGTGAGTGGGAAATTATAAAATCATAAAAAGGTACGTCTTACCTGATACAGTTTTTCAAGTACTCTTGTCTTTGAACTTCATCTTTTATATTCAGGTGATCTTTGTACTGAAGGAACTGTAAACAAGCAAGGAAAACTTGGATACATTTCTTTTGTATGCATACAAACTAAATCATACTGGTATCATAGTTTTATCACACAATTATACACAAACTTTGGACTTTTATTTTGCTGAGTTTTGCTTTTTCCACTGCCCTTACAACAGGTAGATCTGTATTCTTCTTTCAGAATGAAGCGTGAACTTATTTAAAAAGTGTTTCAACTGTGGGAAAACGAATATATTAATGTTTCTAAAGTAAACTTTACAGACCTCTCCAGACTACAATCTGGTAAAGTGCAAAGTAGTAATTTTGAAAATAAACAGAGTCTCAGCATAATTATCTGCAACGTTGTGTCAAATTTTCACATTAAACACTGCAGGGGTCTGTGATTATGTGAAAAAGCATGACATATTATGCCCCCTCACTCTTTGAAAGAGCTCTGCAAATTTTTAATTTTCTGTTGAAGTTGCAACAAAAACTCCTGTCTGTGCTTGTGTGGTAACCTGTCAATGTGATTTCAGTAATTTGTCACAGTGTAAGGTTACACAAAAAATACAAAATGGTGATACAAGTATCAGAGTTCCAAACTCTTAAAAATATGGTAGTTGGCAAGCTAGTGCAATACTTACTGCCATGTCTTCAGTTCTTCCTAGGGATCTGTGGTTAAACAGAAAGACTTGTTTTTTTAAGCTTTTGATCTGATTATGTCATTCCATGCTACTTACTTTTAATGTGTGGCCCATTGCTACAGTACTACCAACAGGTAGGGTTGAAAAGTTATATACTTTATTTCTAAATGTATCTTTTACAAAATAATTTATTCAAATAATTGTTTCCCCAACAACATAGCAGGTGAAGATTTAATGTTACACAAAGAACCGTGATGAAAAGGGGAAAAAATGATGCACAGGAATTTCAATACATTTGCAATAGTTTTCCCACTTACTTGAAGAGCTCCAGTAGTAGTTTTTGTTCACCCATTTCTTTTAGAAAGTGGATAAAATGCTGCAAGGCTATCTGCCTGGACACTAACTCTCGAAACAAGATTTCTTTTTAAAAAAAGAAGACATAAAATTGTATCAAAACAGGAAATGCACAAGAAAGGCAACAAACACAAATGCATTTATGCCTTAAAAATACTTGGTCAGTTTCTAAATTTGCAGATTCCAATTTCCATAGAGATTTGTGATTCATCACATTGAAAATCAGACATCTAAAATTGATAAAAACACAAATCACAGAAAGAAAAATGATGCGTTCTTACCTTTACTTAATGACCTCTTCAGAAAGATCAAAACCTGAAAAATATATTACAACAGTTTGTTATAGGCGATTAACAGCTTTACAATATAAGCTTTATTAGCTTTATGTGCTAACCACATTACCTCCACCTCCAATGTCGGAAAATGGTGACCCTTGCCCCCTATTCCCCATGGGCCTTTATGGCCCGAAAAGGGGACCTTACAGTACTTACCTATTCTTCTTTGGACAAAAAATTCACCATCTAATAATGGCAAGTTAAAGACTGAATATTCTCAAAAAGCTCCCATCTAGTGCTACAACCTTAGTGCTTTAGCGATCCCAGTTTGCTACTCAAATGCATTCTTACATGATCAAGTCTCTAGCGCAATCCTGATCACTGGATCACTCTGTATATTCATGAAACTACAATTAATCATTCATTCCTGGACTGTGTTATTCTGACACTTACTGCTGTGATGACATTGCCATCGTGACTGTCCACAGCCTTGTCCAGGAGCAGCAGCTTGTCTTTCAGACAGCGGAACTTCTCCAGGGAATAGGGCTGCATAGGAACACCCGGAATATGAGTACGAGGAACAATTAGCTCTTGAGAAGCACTGGACAATACTGATACACACGTCAGGGAGATGAGACCATGAGACAGAAGAAAATGTGGGTTGAAATGTTTTGCAGGTGAATGTAGCTCTGGTTGCTCACATTCATTGATTACTCAGCTGGTTACTCAGTGAGACCTCAGTTTAGGGGTCTCACTGAGATTAGCCTGGTCAAGGAGATTAAATGGCAGGCAGACCACCCTAAAGGAAGTAATTCAAGAAGGAGCTAGGAGGGTGGAGATAGGAGAGGGCGGAGGGTCTCTCTTAACCAGTAGCATGGCGTAGGAGGACCTACTCACATTTAGCACCCAAACTATTGGGAATCACAGAGCTGGGGCTGAGGCAGGCCCGATTCTGGTGTAGTCAAGTCACCATCCTACCCCAACCCTGACACTCTTTGCTATCCAGTTTCCCTGTTTGTTAAGACCTATGGGTTGTTCTGTTCCCCCAGAGAGCTGGCTCCTTAGAAAATTAGCTCATATAGTAGGCAGTAGCAGCTTCCGACCTATTTGTTGGCAGAGCAAATTGTGCTTCTCCCTTCACACATCTCAAAATCACCTATTCCCTAACCACTGGGAAACACCATTACTGAGCTGATGGGCGAGCTCACTTTGGTGCTGACTTTTAAAATGAGCCTGACCAAAATTCTGGTCTCATCATCAGACTGGTCTCTCTAGTCTCTCGGTGATATCAGACTAATAGCAGGAAATGTCTCATCACGAGACACCTTCTCCTGAGCTCTTTACCTACTGTATTAACAGAATAAAAACCTTACTGGAAGAGCTGCAGCAGGTCCTGCAACAACAAGCGTAACTCAGATGTAAATGACTACTCTTCTTTTCTTCCTAATTTCTCCTTAAGCCACCCTCCAGCTGCATAAACCAACGAGGAAGCAAAAACTCTTCTTGTACTTAGAGGTGGACAGAAATCAGATATGCGAAATGAGTGGGATCCCACCTTTTCGCTTGAGCGGCAGTTTCCAACTCAATTAAGCATTAATTAAATACCAATTTGTTAATTCACATTACTCTTTGTACAGGAAGAGCAGCCATTTCTCTGATTTAGTTATAGCCTTGTGTAGAAAAAAGTCTGCCTAGTGAGAATAAAGGTCCTACCTTTCCTCTGTGCATCCTCCTCACAGTCTCTTCTGGGCTCCAGTCACTTACGTAGTCCTTGCAACAAAAGCACAACAACACAAAACCCCAGTACATTCAGAATCCAACACCTAATTTATATAATTGAATTAACTGCTTTTAGGACATAGTGACATGTCTTGCTGTCTTACCATTTAATATTACTGTTCAATTTCTTAGTGGAAAAAGTAAGACAAAGGATCAATACAAAAAGGTTAATGTGTTACGCATATTTTTATTTACTACTAAAATAAAACTTACATGAGGCTAATCTGATTTTGTGTTGTGTACAATTAGTATTCAAAAGAAATTCATACCACCAGCTGCCTATATTAACTGAAAAGCATTTCAAATACTATTATAATATTATTTATGATGGACTGACCTGTTAATTCATTACTTTAAAAAGATTAATACGATTGCAAGCGTTAATTTCAACCTAACATTTTCATTAGAAGAAATAACCCATGCACCTAAACATGTATTCAAAATAATGTTAAGTATTTACATTTGAAGGTGTTTGTTACCTTATTTACCTTATATAACATGTTTTTAGATCTACTGTGCCTTAATAAATACTCCTCAAATTATTTCACTTACCTTGTACTCAGATTTTGGCTTTCGTAGCTCTGGAGCAAACATTCTGGTGGTGGAATCACTCCAATCTTTAAAAAGAACATTTTATTTTTTTATTACTAAGATATCTGCTCATTATATTAATGCACAACTTTTAATTCTGATAGGGGTGAATTCATTATCACAAACTGCTCTGTTCTCAAACAAATTTGAATTTCAATAACCCTCTTGCAGTGCCCTTCAAAAGAATTGTGACAGCAACAGAAAAAACAATATTTTTGTTATACAATCTAGCAATATGTATTTGTGATCATGTGATTATTAATTCAAGGTATAACCTAATATATTCAATTTTATTTTTGGGTAATGCATAAATTTGACGAACAAATATCAAGCCGAGCTTGATTCTGAATAAAAACTTCAAATAAATGTGTGTTTACTTCTCTCCGGCTTAACAAACATAAAGACGTCTACTTTAACAGGAGTCCAAGAGATTGCAGAAATCCAAGAGAGGTACTTACTATCTGAAAATGACTGAGAACTCCCACTTTTGCCTCTTACTAGAAAGACACAAAAAAATCTAATTAGAATTTCTGACTCCTGTTTCACACATTTTTCAGATTGTGAACTGTGGTTAATTAAAATGTTACCGATTCTGCGCAGGGTAAGCTACATTTGGGGAGCAACTTTATAACACAAACTCTACTGAGAAATCATATGGATTGCAAGGGAACATAAGACGTGACAATTAAGAGGAGGCCACTAAACACATCTAGTTTACAACTGCTGGTAGCTCCTGATGATCGTATCCATCCCATTTTAAAAAGATCCTTAGGCATGAGCCCCAACAACGTGGCTGAACAGTTTATTCTAGGTTCCAACCTTGAGCTAATGGTGAACTGACATGCTAATGACTGTTCTGGTCAGGAACCCAGCTGAGTAATAGTAAACTCTCAGTCCCCTTCAAGTGATAGCCAAATGTGTTTGAGGCTGAAAAGTGAAGGATCTTACTTAAAAAGAGCTGTAGATATTTGGAACAAGCTGCCTGTGACAACACTGTGGACGCTGACTCCCTCAGAGATTCAATGGCACTCTGAGGATCTTGGATCAATTAGCTACCGAAAAAACTTTAGCCAGCAGCTACTGTATATGGCCCTGCAACTACTGACAACCCACTGGAGCTAAGCAGGTGTAAGCCTGGATAGGAGACCTTCTGGGAAAAACTAAGGTTCCTGCTGGAAGAGGTGTTAGTGGGGCCAGCAAGGGGCGCTCACCCTGCAGTCTTTGTGTGTCCTAATATCCCAATATAGTGACGGGGACACCATACTGTAAAAAGGTGCCGTCTATCAGATGAGACTTAAAAAACCGAGGTCCTGACTGTGTAGTTATTAAAATCCATAGTGGCGCATTATGGCTGCCATCACATCATCCAGGTCAGTGCAGCTCATTGGTGGTGGTGGAGGGGAGTCCCCATTACCTGTAAAGGGCTTTGAGTGCAGTGTCCAGAAAAGTGCTGTATAAGTGTAAGGAATTATTATTGAGTTTCCTGTGCTTCTTGTATCGACATTTGCAGCCTGTCATTTGCAACCTGTCTTTGTTCTTATTAAATGTTTGCAAGAGGATTATTAACTTTTAACACAATGGAAAAAGAAAGAAGTCTGTGAGCTTCCTCTTTCTTAACCTAACACGACAGAAAAGTCCTCCTCCTCTGTGACCTTTCTTGCATTAACACATTAACACACTGTGTGGTGCTATCTGATGTGCTGTGTAGGTTTTATGCTAGAGAAGTGTCTGTCACCTTTGAAAAAGCTGCTTAAGGAGTAGTTAGATCCCTGTTTGGGTAAGGAGGGAGTGGTATCGATCTTTGGGAAGCCCTGATCCCGAATCTCTCCTGCTGCCCTAGAGCTGGAAGCTGTCTCTTTGATGGACCAGGAGATGCCTGTGGATGAAAAGCAGTACAGAGGCAACACATGAAATTCTCAATCTCAAACAATACAAGAAGCACAGGAAACTCAAGACACAGATTACTCATTCTTTTTCATTTCTCTTAACATTAACAAATGTTAAATTGTGAATTCATTTATCTTAACATTTTAGATTGAACCACGGAATACTGCATATCCTGTGTATTAGAATAGGGGAAGGCAAAGTACAGCATTGATTGGACGCCATTTTCCATGTGAAAATCTGTTTAATTGGTTAGGCTCTCTTCCATGTCTCAATTCTAGTTTCTGTCATGGATATAGGGCTCATGGAAGGACCTAGACAGGACACCAGTCCATCTCAGGGCCCACACACAAGAAGACCACTTAGAGGTACCACTTAGGCCAGTCAGCATGTTTTGGGCAAGCAGAAGAAAGCCTGTGCACCCTAAGCAAACAAGCCAAAAACGAGAAAGATGAAAATTACACATAGAAAGTGTCCAGTCTGGGACTGAATCCAAAATGCTGGCCCCCTGTTCTTTATTACAATTAATTCATGTTGATTCTAATAAAGTCTCACTCTGATAGAAATGACAGAAATAAACACCTTGAGTTGATTAATTGAGAGCTCTACACACATCTAGCATTCAAAATACCTTGGCATTTCTGTCTGGGAAAATGTGGTCAACTGCATGCACAACTCTCTTGGTCTGCAGACAATTTCTACATTTTACAATGGCAAGGGATCTGGGGTCACCTTATCCACTGAAGGAAAATGAACAGCACATACAGCAATTCAGTAAAAGAAACAATGGCCATTCTTTTTACATATTCAAAATACAATACCCTTAGGTGCCCTAAAGGTAAGTATTCTAGAAAGCGGAATATAAAAAATTGAAAACTGAACAATTGCTGTGGGGAAAATGCCCTCCTTACAAAAGGTATATCTGTATGTTTTATAAGTAAAAAAAGGGGTGGTGCAGTGGCTCTGTGGCGAAGGATCTGAGCCTGTGGCTGGAAGGTTGCCGGTTCGTATCCCCAGGCCAGCAGAGAAATCCTACTCTGTTGGGCTCCTGAGCAAGGCCTTTAACTCCAACTGCTCTAGGGGCACCCTAAAAATGGCTGGCCCTGTGCTCTGACCCCAAGCTTCTCTCCCTGTCTGTGTGTCTCATGGAGAGCAAGCTGGGGTATGTGAAAAGACAAATTCCTAACAAGTGAAATTGTATCTGGCTAATAAAGTGATCTTATCTTATAAGTTTCTTCCAGGTTTATCCCTCCCCCTCAATACAGCCCACAAAGAGCTTTTACATACTTCCCACTGGCTCTCCACTCCAGGTGACCTTCTCCACATCATCCTCATCCTCCTCCTCCTCCACCAGGCCTCGGATACTGTTCACCGCTTGCTTCGACTCTTTCAGCTGCAAGAAACAACGCCAGTGTCAGCGCAATGCCACACACGTGCACTAACAGTCACACAGGCCATGGATACAGGATCTTTCCTACAGTGAAACTAGGGGCTCCAGCGATTGTCTCCTCCATTTCCTCTGTGTGAAGGTGTGTCTTGATTTCAGAGCAATCTTGGTAAGCATTTGCTTAGGAATGAGATTAACAATAAACGAAAGCATTGGTGGCACAAAACAAAGAGAGAGACTTATGAATTCTAGGGCAGTATTTTCCTTAAAATATTCATTTAAAACATAAGCATAGTAACATCTAAACAATTTTTAAATCTAAAATGCCTTTGAAAAAACTGTCAGGCAAATAACATTCCTCTGAAATGGGATATCTAGAGTAGAGTAGTAATGCATTTATAGTCTAGAGTAATAACAGGTGAATTAATTCAGCAATTAATAAATAACAATGTCCATGGTGGAAAATCATGTACCTTGCATCTTTATCTGCCACTTCAAAACTTGGGCCAAGGAAAAAAACTGCACACACTAAACTGGCCTCTCCTTACAAGTTATTAATATATATATATTAAGGATAAGTGGGGGGTAAATAAAGATTAAGAATATCCTATTTTGATTAGATCCGGACAAGATTATACAGTAAATGCATAACATAACCCAATTGTGTGCCTGTGCAAATGAAAGTCTCTGTTTTACAAAAGAGAACAAGTTACTTGTTTGGGATGAAAGCAGAAAGTCCAAGATGGACTGGCGTGCCTTAAAAATAAAGCGAATGGCCCCGGAGGGTCCAGTCAAAGCCCTGACTTGAATCCTACTGAGTATACCTAAAAACTGCTGTCTGTAAATGATCCCCAAGCAGCTTGAGAGAGCTTGAACAAATCTGCCAGGAGGAAGAGGCAAAGACTGGTTCAAGTTCGCAGAGACTTACCCAAACACAACTGCAGCTGTAACTGCGGCCAAAGGTGCTTTCATGGGGTTTACAGGTCTAAACACCTACGCTATCAACATATTGCATTTCTGTTTTTTTCTCTTTTTTTTCTGCTGACATTTATTGTACCGTACCCTTTGATGTGTTCAGTTTGAGCAATCGGATTTGCAATGAAATATTCAAATGAAAAAAAAATTGGGACGCCGTAGAAAGGGACTAAATGCTTTAGGAAGGCAGTGTATCTTTGCCGATGCGTTAAATAGCTGAACACACTCTTTATACAGGAAAAACGGCTAGGTGAACAAAAAAGTGAAGTACCCTGGAAAACTCGTCATCTTCGTCATCAAACGTGAAAGCTTTGAACTTTGAACTGTTCCAATACTCATCTTCATCAAGTTTACTTCTGATCATCTGAAAGAAAATGTAATCGTCTTTACCGGAAAGCGAACGGTAGTAGCCTATTTCGCTCACAGTTTCACACATTTTTCAGGATAATCGCTAAATATTCTAGTAAATATGCGAAATCCCTTCTTAAATCTACTGTATAGGGGGAATCCCTGGCTTCACGTCCTTATCGTCACATACAGTATCTACAATATGACTATAACATCATAAAGTGCATAGTATAAAATACCTATATATTACACAGGTAGTAGTAAACACACATTTCAAATAGAAGTGCAAATGATTAATTTGTAGTACAAAACGAAAATTAAAATGGACGTAACAAGATCGGTATCTCTGATTTAAACTTAAATAATTTATACGTAAATTGAATTGACATATTTCGATGTAAGTAAATGTGATCTACCAGATTAAAAGATAAAAGCGATATTCTACTTAATGTAACGTGTAAAAGTGATTGTCGAGATTGTGACAGCAAACTTAGACTGGATAAGAAAGAAGCAGTATTGTTATTCCTTATATAGCAACACAAAAAGGACTGATGTATGCCAGCTGATGGTTAAGGCAGATAACAAATTCATTTAAATTCATCTTGATTATAATGATATTAGATATGTAATAATTTTATCTATGAAATATCTCTTCTTACCTTTGCACATCAAAATAAAAGGCTGCCTGATGAAAATCTACTGACACAAGGCGAGGCCTACTCTGGGAGTTGTAGTACCTAATGCTGGAACTGCCATTGCATCAAACGTCACCGGAAACAAAATAAACTACAAATACCTTAGATCTTTGTGGCTTCCAGGTTTCTTGCAATTAAAGAGCAGGGCAGGTTGGTGTTTTGGGAGTTGTATTTTTAATTGGTCAAAACTGAAACTCGGCCATTGCTTTGTAGGTTTATGAAGATAAGTAATATTTCATGTTTTTATAAATTAATTATTAGCTTATTCCTTTTATAATAAGGCAAACTCCTACCACTTGAATACAAATCCATGATTAAGATAACTGGTGCTACACGGCGGCACAATTAATTTACCGCAAAGTAAGTTACACTCGGCTAATATTTATATGCTATCTCTATAGAATTTTGGTAAGTTTTCAAACTGGAATTGAATAACGGATATTGTGTTTTTTATTTTACTTTTGTGTTCGTTTAAGGTGTCACTTCTCATATTGTCAGTTCATGGAACAGATTAATCAAAATCTATTCTTTGGTTCAAATGCTACATTTATGAATGACGTGAACGTATTAATTTCTAAGCCGGGAAACACAATTTAAAAAAAGATATGATTCCCATATTCTCTGTTTTTAAAACACTTTAATTTATGCTCTGTCTTGCTTTATAATTAAATTACACCCACTTTTTGGGATGCTTCTCATTCCGTTCCCATTTCTCTTGTTTGATCATTTTATTGCATAGTGCCTTGAGATGATATATGAAGGCGCTATATAAAACGCCAATAATAGTAGTATTCGAGATCTGTCTCTATCCATTAATAAGATAACGCCATGTTTAAGATCATACCAAATCAAATCACATAATATGTCTCTAAATGTGCATTAAACATGCATCGAAATCTTCGGTAGTTATCAATATTCGGTGTAACTTTTTGGAAGAATCGAGAAGCAGTAACCAGAGGGCAGTGGAACTGAAGTGCCGGAGTGTTTCCGGAAGCAGCCGAGGGGAGCAGTGAGGGTGACGCAAGGCGCTGTTCCGTTTCCAGTAATTTCTACGGCGAGAGATTAAAAAGCGTCCGAGACGGGAGACTCGAGTGTTCTAGAATAGAGCAGGGAGACACGCCAGGCGACTGAGTTGCTGAAAGAGTGTCGATGAATTGACAGTACCCTAACATTAGTCACGCAACATTTCCCTCCTATTTCTTCTTCCAGAGCGCATTTAGATATATATTAGCTGTGACCAGAATCGATTTCTGTACTGTCTGAATTGTCATGGCCAAGTGGGGAGAAGGAGACCCTCGTTGGATCGTAGAGGAAAGAGCGGATGCCACCAACGTTAACAACTGGCACTGGTAAATGATGACAGCTCTCTGAATTGACAAGGGTTTTATTTTTGAAGAGGCATATCTGCAGCGGTGACATCAATGCCTTTTTTTGGAGCTAACGCGTGGATACTTAGCCTGGCCTGGTGTGGTATTTCATGTGCGGCGCGGGTGCTAACATATCGTATCACAGAGGCAGAAATCGGACATCGCCAGATTGTCTAGAAACAGCACACAACCGAGCCACGGCAGGAGAGCCGTTGAGTTTCGTTCGTCAAAGGGAAAGTAACGTGGTTGACTTATGGTTGGTTTTGGAACTGCAGGCACGCTGCCTTGACAACTAAAGAGATGCAATTGAAATATTGACCCCTTAGGTATACTTTAATAACACGATGTCTCACTGCAGTGAGCTATAGCTGAGTGAAGTCCAATGAAAACGCATCGAAGATTCGCGTCAGTATCGAATATAGGTTATACCGAAGCACCATGACGCAAAAACTCGAGTTTACTTGTGCTTGAAAGTGTTGAGAAAAAGGTTTTCAGCATCTGTATCCGGTTTCTTGAGTTGAAATAGCCGAACTCTGGAGCTAGTTAATTTGGAAAGCTCTGTCGATCACGCTGGCGTTTGAATTGCAGATATAGACATAAATGGGATTGATCTGTTATTGTAGGTTTTAGTTCGTGTCGTCTTCTTATTGCTTCTGATATTCCCTCAAGTCTTCCTGGCAAACTTGAAAAGTATTTAAAAATTGTTTTATTTTAGTATTTTCTGAGCCAGTAAACGGTTTCCTTCACACGATTAGCATTGTTAGTGTCTGAAGATTGTTAAAAACCTGACGCTTCCACTACAAAGGTAATCTTTGTAACGTTTAAGACTATAGGGAAACAGCTGCGACTGAACAAACTACTCAGCCAAATAATTATATTACATACCCTGAGGTCTTTCAAAAAATGTTTGGTTGGGACCCGCAAATTAATTAACTACTAATTTGGAACCTTTCTTATGTTCTGACAATTCAAGTGGTAAAGCACAATTATGACATTATCGCCAGTCCTTACTTTTTCACAGTAACCTCTTCATAGGCCGTTGTACCTGGAGCAAGATGTCATTTAAGGGTATTTTGGCATCTCCAAGAAAAGGGCAGAAAGATAATATTGTTTCATTACTCTTAACTGCATTCCATTTGAAATTTGTATTTTGGGGTGAAATAACCATTGCTGTGCACCACAATCGGGCACATCAATGCTTATTATTTCATTGGCTTTTAGGCTTCACAGTGTTCATGTTTTGGCTGAGGATTTAGGCACCACTTTTAGTGTTTAGATCATTAAGTGCAATATAATCCCCTTCTTTATCAGAAAACTGCTTGTTCCTTGTAACTCAAAGCCTCCTGGTGCAAGGAGGAACTAAGCCTTGAAAGAAACACCAGTTCATCACAGGGCACACACATGGGGATAATTCAGAGAAGCCATGTCTAACTTGGTCTTTTTAGAGGGTGGAGGGAAGCAAAGTGCATTAACGTGCAAACACCACACAGAAGGTGCCTCAGTTCATGAACCCAGGAACCGAGAGCTGTGAGACAACAGTGCTAGCTTCCACACCACCATGCTAGCCAAATCACAGTACATAACATTAAACAATAAAAGCCCAAAATGTGGGTGGGTTGCATCTAATCACAGTGTTGTGAAGGAGTAACCTTGATCATTCTGGAATTTGTATATCACTTCACCTTGGCAGGCAGAGCTATTTCAAGACTCCTTGAAATATTGTACCTTACACTTAAGCAGAAGTAGGTTATACAGCTGATGTAACATTACAGCAAATTATAACTGTCCTAATGCTATAATAAGATGAAAGAGAGATACAACCATTTTATTAGCCATATACAATTTCTTGCATTAGGAATTTGTCTTTTCCCATACCCCAGCTTGCTCTCCATGAGACACAGGCACACGGACAGGGAGAGAGAAGCTTGGGGTCAGAGCGCAGGGTCAGCCATTTATATGGTGCTGCCCCTGGAGCAGCTGGGGGTTAAAGGCCTTGCTCATGGGCCCAACGGAGTAGGATTCCTCTGGCGGCTGCAGGATTTGAACCGGCAACTTTCCAGCCACAGGCGGAGCACCTTAGCCACAGAGCCACCACTCCACATTGAGCAGAATTATTTGATTTTGGATACTGTTGACTTTTTACACATACAATTGTAGTAGGACAAACTGACAAACACAACTCATCTTCACCTTAAGGTAAGGGGTTTACATGTTATCCAGTGGTTCCAATGGCTCCCCTGTTTCCTCTGATTTATTCAGGACAGAGCGAGATGCCACAAACTGGTCGTCAGACAAGCTGAAGGACCTGCTGATGGCCGTGCAGGTGGAGAACCAGGAGGGGAGATGTGAGGTGACCGAAGTGAGCAAAATAGAAGGAGAAGCCTCCATCAACAACCGCAAAGGGAAACTCATTTTCTTCTATGAGTGGGATCTAAAAATGACTTGGACCGGTGAGTAAAGGCAACAAAGACTAAAATGCCTGTGCTGCTGTTGAGATCACAGTGCAGCAGTAATTTCTGTCTGGTAAGATATTTTTTCAGCTTTACTACTGAAATTGAAATGGTAAATTGGAAATTTTCTTAGACACCTCCAAGATCTCTTTCTGAAATCCTTGTCCAGAGGGTGAGAAGACTTGCTTTTTTTGCGAGCTCATTGGAACTGATAAATGCCCGTTAAAACTGACCTGTAGAACACTCTAAACATGAAAGCACTTGTTGGAATAGAGTTAGCACTTGAATGTACTATATACATATTAATTGCAGTAATAATTATTGACACATCTCTTTGAGATAGTATCGTAATATTAATACTGTAGCATGTTGTCAGATATACCTGTACTTACAGACATGATTATATTCACTGTACTACTCTTTGCTGTTTTTTTGCTAGTGAATGATCTTCCTGCTTGGGAGGAGGCTGCCATGAAATGTCTTGATGCTAGAGGAGTAACGTTTTTTTTTCCTCCCGGCCAACAGGTGTATCAAAATCCGGAATAAAGTATAAAGGAAGTGTAGAGGTTCCAAACCTGTCTGATGAAAATGATATGGATGACTTAGATGTAAGCATTTTAAAATTGACTGCAGTTTTACAATTTTATTTTTATTCATGTATTTTTTAGAGACTTATGATGAATCCGTTTTCAGAAGGCATTTAATCTCGAACATCCAATGCCTGGGATGGTTTTTAATGGGCTGAGTTAGTTTTTGCAGAAATTAAAATCTAGCATATTACTATACTTTAGAATGTTGGTCACTACATACTTCTGTACCAATCATTTAAAAATGCATTTAAGTTGTAGGAAAATAAAAAGTAAATAAATAGTATAATCCAATCAACAGGAGTAATGTAACTACTTAGTATTGACTTCAGTCATTTAAGACATATTTTACAATGTTACTTTAATGCTGGGTGGAATAGCTGAGGAGTTTGCCACTTAATTTTTAAAATTGTAAAATATCTGTTTTTTTTAATAGATATCTGTCTCGCTTGCTAAAGATGAACCAAACACACCTTTGACCGAACTGATGAAGACAGAAGGCGCAAGAAAAGTGCGACAGGCACTGGGAGATTACGTACAATCACTAAAAACTGGTATGAGGATATTAATTTAGTCAGTTTGTTGGCCAGCACCCCCTTTTTCCTGTGTTAATATTCTTACTACTTAAAGTTCCTCATTTAACACCAAGAATGCAGGCTTGTTGTGCATTTCTGGCTTGTTGTGTGTTTCTTGTAGCTTAAAAGTAGAAGCAAAGTGTACCACTGATGAACAATTAATGAAAAACATTGAACACTGAGCATTTTTAAATTTCAATATTTTGGTGGGAAAATAGTTAAGTTACATATTAAATTAATACTGATTTTTTTCTAATAGTTTAGGCAGTGTTATTTTGATTTTTTTGCAAGTACTCTTGCAAACTGATAGTCGTTGTCTTTGTTATTTCAGAGTTCACTCAAGGCATGATTTTGCCCACTGCCAATGGCATGAACAAATCTTCAGCATCACAATCCAAAGCAAAGCTGGATACGCCCCAGGTATTGTCTTTTTGTGCCAAGTGCACTTCTTACTGATTTTTTTTGTATAGACGTGATATTTAAAACTTTTTAAACTGTCAACCATCTTAAGTGTCTGGTATAAAAGTGATCTGACCGTCTGACTGAAGGTTTAGATCACTGATCAGTGGGATTTCTTGATTTGGCTTAAATTGAGTTTGTGAAAAAATATTTATGAAATAATGCATCTCAAACCAAGTAATGGAATCTGTCACTGCAGTGCTTATACTACACCAAACAGTTTCATTAAAAAAAACAGCTGGGAAAGGGTTGTGTATGAAATAAGGTGAAGTGCCTTTTCTTTTAATTCATAGTACAGAAGGTTAATTGTAGTTGACCACATCTTTTTTTCTTCTCAAAACTAACCCGTTCTTTGTTCATTATTAGATTGCCCCTGGTAGTTCTGTTTCTTCAGCCAATGCGGGAGTGAAGATCCCCACTTGCAAGTTCAGTTTAAAGGAGACTTTCTTGACTTCACCAGAGGAGCTCTACAGAGTCTTCCTCACTCAAGAGGTAAATGTGCTCTGTGTCTACAATGAAACGCATACGGCCATTAGTGTACAAAGATGTGCTGTGTTATGACTGCTGTGTTAAGCAGATGTTATGACTGCTTGGAAAAGGAATGTTTTGCATGAACATCTACAAAACGAACCTTTCTGATTTGTTTTTATTGTTTAGATGGTGCAGGCTTTCACCCACTCAGCTGCTGTTGTTGATGCTGATAAAGGTGGAAAGTTCAAACTTCTGGAGGGTAATGTCTGTGGTGAATTTTTAGAGCTGGTAAGTACTGAACATTTCATGAGAGCTTAAAAATCTTTTTGTCTGTATTCTAGAATGTAGGAAACAAATTGTATGCTCTGTATTGCAGGTTCCAGAAGAAAAAATAGTTATGAAATGGAGATATAAGACCTGGCCTTGTGGTAAGTCTTCAACTCTTTACCTGTTCACGAAAGTCAAGAAACGTGAATGATGTTTGCGATTTCAAAATCTAAGAAAATCATAAAGTTTGCAAATGAGTGAAGGTCACTTCCTCATTCGGCTTTTAGTAGCCATTTGATCCAAGGATCTCATCCAACTGTTTATTGAAAGAAACCAGCATATTGGTTTTTACAACATGGCTGGGTAGCTTGTTTGGACTCTCACAACCGTTTATATAAGAAGTGGCTCCTGTTCTCTGTTTTAAATCCAATTTTGTATAGATACATATTGGCTGTGCAATCAAATATAGTTTCCTGAAATCATTTATTTACTCTTACAGGGTGAGAATTCAAATATTTATAATAAAAACCACAGAATAATTTGATTTGCTACCTGTTCCCTGCAGATCTTGGAATCTAATGGAAAAGCATTTATATGGAGAGAAATGCACATTATAATTGGGCCCTAAAAGTTGTAGGAAAGAAAATAATGAAACATAACAAAATTTCACCTCTTTTTTTTCCTTTAGAGCATTATGCAACGATCACAGTAAATTTCATTGATCGAAGCGGCGAGACTGAACTCAGGGTGGAGTGTAAAGGAGTACCAGTGAGTGAAGAGGAACGGACCAAACAGGGCTGGCAACGATACTACTTTGAGGGCATAAAACAGACTTTTGGTTATGGGGCACGACTTTATTGAAGACTCTGTACTGTATAGTATTGTAATAATGACTTTTGAACTCAAACAGAAGCTTCAGTCACCTGTTCATTTGTGTGTACATGCTTTCATTTTTAGCACAGTTGTTCAGTCACATGCTGCTATATGGCAAATACGAAGGAACTGTGCCTTTTTAGAGGAAGTCATTTTAAGGAGTTGTAAATTGGAGCTTATTGTGTGAATATATTATGATAAAACTGGTTAACCACTGACCTGTCCATTTTGATGGTAAAAACATACATGGGTAGGATTGCCATGTCTTGGCTTATACGTGTCCACAAGATGTCTGGTGTTAATAAATGTGATTTTTACTCAGCTCCCTTGTGATTTGTAAAAGAGCTCTTTAACACAAATAAAACTGGTTTAGATATTATTCCAAAACAAAGTACTGTAAAAGATTGCTGTACAGATTTGCTTGAAACCAGTTTGTGATGTGCCTATGCTGTAAAAGTGTAAAAACATTAATATGACCCATTGGGAACACGAGGGTAATTTATATTATGAGCCGTTTTTGAATGGCAACAACTTTGACTTCTGTGGTCTTGCATTCAGCAGGTATACAGACCAGGTGAGGCCTGTGAAAGTGAATGGAGACTGTGATGTACTTCTTCTGCAGGTGAATTATTTTTTTAGGATGGGAACGTTAGTGTTTGTAAACCTTTGGGACCCTTTGACTATATGACAAAGTAAGAGACTCTCAGACTGGATCGCTGAATAGTGTACTGTTTTCTGTAATTGTTCTGCCTGTGCCTAAGTTACATAATGTAGCTGTTCTAATTCACTACGACTATTTTTTCTAATCAGGCTCCAAGGTCTTTCAGGGCTAACCCCATATTTAGGTTGTTTTGATTAACTGACTTTAAAACAGCTTAGACATGTCTAACAAAATAATCAAGTTAATTGATTACATGAGTCGGGACAAAAACAAGAAGACACTAGAACCTCCAGCTATTCAGTTTGAGGCCTTGATCTTTAGTAGCGGTTCTTTAATCAGGGTCCTAGAATCCCTTTCTGTATGCTGTTTTTTGCTCCAATTGGACTGTCAAATACAGGCTAATTTGTTTCAATGATCTATTTTAGGTGACCTTTAAAAATGTTTAATTTTAGTGCTTAAAAATTTAATTGGTATGAACCTTGTGCTAGTTAGTGAGGTTCAGGGCCACACTCATGCAGGGTTGTGACTTGAAACGGAACCAACTGGATTACAGCTGCAGGAAAAACAGCACTCTAGGGTTGACTGATAAAGTGTCCCACTTGTCTGTCATCACTCGATCACTTTAACAGCCGTTTGGTGAGGAATAAGGGAGCTAATTTTTAGCAAGCTCAGGAGAGACTGCGTTAAATTTTATGTGCTGCTGAAGTTGTTGGGGGGGGAAAAAAAGCACCGCGACCTAGGTATTTTTTAAACCAAGGCTTGAGTACAGAAGACAGTTTAAACCAGAAAGCAGATCAGTTGTAGACATAGATTAACCTTGTAATGAAAGCCCAGTTAGAACAAAAATCAGCAGACACAATGAGACTCCAGGACTAAGACTGAGAACTTATGATTAGAACATAATAACATAAACGTCAACAGTTTGTTTCCAGATTTCCAAATCAGATTTAATTTTTGGTATTGTGACTAAATTAAACTGCCTGTATTATGCATGAGCAACTGTTTAAATTGATGGGTTAATAGTTCATTAACAGTATCCAAAATCTGATGGCTTTGTATTATTAAGGTAGCATGAATAAGATATATAAATATGACATAAGAGCAGTGGAAGTGCTGCAATTATTTATTTACCATTTTCCATTAAACATTCTTTGTAATGAGACACTCATTGCCTTGAATAAAACATTTTGTTTCACTGGCAATTTTGCGTTAACTAACCTTTTAGAATGTTACACTGTATGTTGCAAGTGAAATTTGTTTTACTATAAGGAAATGTACTTAAGTTTATTGTAGACATAACAAATGTCTGACTACTTTCATCAGTATTATATTTTCATCGTTACTCTTCACAAGTTAAAGCCTTAGGTTCACAATAAAACAAGTGGATGCAATCAAAGTGCTTTCTGGAAAGCTTTATTCTGATGATTTTTTTTAAACCCTGCAAGGACCATTTTAAAGCAACATATCTTAACCAAACATTGACAAAAAATCATCTTCATTTTAAATATATTTTTATAAATGTATTTACATTTTTTACATCTTTTTAGAGAGATGTTCATTTGCCTTGCTGAGATTATATAAAGTATATTCTTAAGGCATTTTGGATCAATTTAAAACTACTTTTGCACAGAAATGTACTTGTACTATTCCAGATGTTTGTCATTCATATTTCCAGTATCATCCAAACCAGTATAATTCAATTGTTTAAAAAACAGCTTTGTGAAACCTATACTTTTGTTAAATTTTCACAAAATTCACATAGTAATTGCAGTACAAAATACAGTATGTTGAAAAGTCCTTAAAACATTTTGTTCCTAATAGAATTTCCATAAAATGATTACTTAAAGGAGGAAATATAGTGCTAGATCTTACCACAATGTCTGAAGGGTGTGCGTGAACTGTACAATGATTTCATGTCTTTAAAAAAAGGACAGCAGTTATGTATAAAAGGACCTACTGTACATATTAACACAATGTTAGATTCCCCTTAACAGTGCTATATACGTTTAACTAAACTCAGCAATGCTTAAAATTTTTTTTGAATCAAAGTCTTTATGATAACAGCTCAAAAGTTAAAGAATACCAGTAACAAAAATCACCCAAGAAAAAATGAGAACCATTGTAAACACATCCCTCTAAAATTGCATATTACAAAACAAAATTTCTTAATATTGATTATAGCCTGTATTGACATTCAAATATGATTCAAAAATAAACAAAATATTTTAATTACTGACTTTAAAACATTAACAATATTACTACATAAATCAGATGTCAGATTATTCCTCAAGGAGCAATTCTTTCCATATCAGAAGTTACACAGGAGACATTTCCATTGACTACCAAGCATCCTGCTGAAATTGATACACCAGTAAAAGTTTAAATAGAAAACAAAATTAAAACAACAAGGAAACAGTCTCAAAATCAAAAATAAGAAAACCCAGCTGTGCTTTGTAGTCCCCACATTCTGTCCTGCTGGGGATTGGTCAGATGTCAGGGGTACCAGACAAGGACAGCAGAAGCAGAAGGATCTTGACCTGCACAGTGAATATACCAATTAACCTGCATTTTACTAAAACAAGGAAGCCAACTTTCTGTTTTATTGACATCAATATATACAAAGGCTGCGGCACAAGCACCAGAAAGCAAAAACCTGTGAGTGAAAAACTGCAACACTAAAGGATTATTTTGATCTTTTAACCTCTTACTGTGATAAAGCTTGGAGTAGGGCTTAAATCTTAATGCTTGGTACTGTTGTATCAAGACATCTAAATTGATAACAGCACTGCGGGATTCCTGGCAAGTTAACCTGTGAGGGACCTGCTCCCTGTCCATTAGGGACTTTTCAAATCGTTTTAAGGACTTTTTAAGACTTGGAGAGAAGCATTAAACCACTTAGCTCAGTAAGACAGCAGATAGCTCAAATCAAGAGAAAATCAGATGCCCTCATGTCCCAACAGAACTTGAGCTGCAAAATACCAGTTAAGCCTTTCGCATTAATAACATTTCAGCATGTTTCAAAAGTACCAGGGTGTGTCGTGCTGCCAAGCTCAGAGACTGAAGGCAGGATTTGGTCTGATGAGAATGAGAGCTCTGCCTACCCTTGAAGCTGCGTGTTCTGTTTGCTGAAGGGTGTTTAGGCATGTCTTTTCCCAGGCAGAACAGCATCTCTGGCTCCGAGTCCTGCTGAAAACCACACATCACTTCTCTGTTTAAGAGCCAAACTTATTTAGACACTCAAAAGCCAGAACACAAGCAAAAACTATGATCCCAAGAGTAAAAACAGCACTAAATATATTGTTAGTTTTGTGGCTGGGGCTTCAGCACCAATTTCTACAGCTGTGGGGATAAAGCACTTTGATCCAGAATACAACGATAACAGTTACTATTAGGATTAGATTACTTACATGAACTTAAAGTTACTGTGGTAAATCATGTGTTTCTGCTTAATTGAGATAACTGTTTGCTAAATTGAACACATTAGGTGCCCTTTTTAAATTTATAGCTGGAGTGGATGTGAAGATATCTATACTGAGCATCAAAGGAAAATCATCACTTGATTTATATGTGTATTTGTTTTAGAAAAAAGAAGGTTCTGTTTTATTTATGATTAATGGATCTTTCATGACTGAACAGGATTCACTTAAGGGACTTTAACTGTCATTAGTGAGGTAGAAAAACTGATTGAATACCATTGAAGAGGTGATTTAACCTGTAAAATGGCAAGCTTTGTGAAAATCAAGAAAGAAAAACAAGAATGGTAACAATTTCCGCACACAACGTGAGACCTTTATGCTATCAGTATTCTGAAATCTGAACTAAGTCATCTCAGATGGACTCATCAGCACTGAAGCCAAGTACACCCTCTTACGAGTGACTCAATGTTTTTAGACCACCTTGGTGAATGTCAGTGAGTATGGTGCTGCTGTGTAGAACAAGATGCTAACAGTGTGTTATTAACCAATCGGCAGGGAAGTCCAAGTGTGAGGGTCTGGGCTCTGGGCCAGAGTGTCTGACAGCTACAGAACTCTACTTGTAGTTATTGATGGTATCCAGATAGCATGGATCAATACACTGATCAGTAAGACCTCACTTTGTTGGCCTTCCTGTGGGCTCAATCAGATATGACTGCACTCCAACAGGACAATACAAGTGCCCACACTGCCCATGTAGAAAAGGATTCTTTGCAAGGTGAGAATGCGACGGTTGTGCCATCCTTGCCCTACATGCAATAATTGAGCCCCTTTGAACATCTGGCAAATATTTAGGGACAACGTGTGGCATCTAGGGCTCAGAAACCAGTGTACAAGCTCATGCATGTCTAGGATCTGGGACAGGAATGAGACAGAACCCCATAAGACAACATTTGCAACCTTGTGAGCTTGTATTGCGTCCAATGGTGGCCACACAACCTAGTGGTCTCCACTTTCCTAGTGGACCCCCTGCTGATGACAAATGTTAAGCAGCATAATGAATTTACCTTTGTCTTAATTATTTAATAATATATCAGTGCATTGCAAAAAACAAAACTGATGTCAACAGGGATTCTCCAAGCAGTGGCACAAGTTGCCTGAATGCTGCTGTGGTAGGGGTGGAATTTGTCCACACGGCATTTTCTCAGTTTTTGGGCAAAAAGTGACTCTTGTGAATTGCTGAGGCCCCTGAAGGCCTGTTAAAAGGCTGTCTGAAACACATGCAAACTGCACTACCTTCCTGTCAGCTGCTGTGGTGCTTGCACTTTGCCAGATTACACATGGCTCCACAGGTGTGTGTAGTGAAGGAACATACAGTATCAGTACATTCTCCCTTGAGTGTATTTGTGGGGATGGTCATTGCCGAGCCTTAAAACACTTAGCAATTCCAAACTGGATGGGTACATAATGAGATGTAACTCGGGATTCCTTCTTTTAAAGGCTACCTACGTCAGAGTGTGTGATGGAGTCCAGGGAACCTTCATTCTGCCCCCTGGGCTTCTCTGCTGTGCCCCGGTGCTTCACTTTCAGACCAATATCCTGCCACCTTTTCCTGTCCAGGTATGAATGAGATGCATTACTTTGGAGCCCAGAAAGATACAATACAATACAGTACCCTGTAAAACAAAAAAACAACTAATTTAACCCTTCCAAAAACCTCACTATGTTTTTTTTTACAATTGAATGGGTTCACCATTCAAAGATAACATTACATGCCCATGAGCCAGAAAAATATTTATTTTTCACTGACAACTAGTACTTAACAACCTAATCTGAATCATTGAAGACAAAGATTGTCAACATCACACCTCAAAGTCTGTATTGTCTTCAGTTTTTTTCCCTCAGCTATCCATTTTAACCATGTCTGGTATTGGAGGTGAGTGAAAAAGAAAGCCATCTGGGTTCCCTGACCTCTGTGCAGCTCGCACTCCCTTGGCGCCATTGTCTTCCTGGGGAGATGGGACAGGTGGAGCCCGGCTCATGAGGTCCTTCAGGAACTCAAAGTGCTTCTCTGTTTCGATGCACTGCCTCCTTCAAAAAGAACTCATATCACTTCAAAACACTATTTACTGATTTCATCTGCTGCTTTGAAGACAAATTGATTTTGGACTTATTTGGCTACATGCTATGTTATAAGCAAATCTGCCATTTGTGGATTTATACAGAAAAGCAATAATCACCATACATTTAGACATACATATATACATGAATAAGTATAGCATATCTTTCTTCATCATCACTTCAAGATTTACAGCAATGGCTTTAAACATAAGCACAACCTATTCACCTTAAATGCGAGGACAAAATCAAGTTGTTAAGACATTTTGGACAGAAAGCTATTGATTGCCAATCAGATATCTCTATATGGAACCATTCTTTTATAAGAAAAAAAAATAGAAGAGTCTCACAGATGTGCTTGGGTCATAGTCCTGCTGTGTTTTGATTGTGTAATCTGACAGCTTTTCGTCAAGAGAGATTTCAGAAACAGCTCTAGGGCTCTTGCTAAATTGCTTTGTTAAGGAGCTGCATTGAAAGGACTATCATCCTGTATAGGACTCTATATATGTTAGATGCAACAAGGAATACAAGGAAATAAGGGACATATACAACTGCATCCTCATAGAGAATCTAGACAGGCTTCTTCAATTTCTAGGGATTGCTTCCAGTTTCAATTTAACATGCTGATCAGAAGTGAGGTCCTTTTCAATCCCATGTTGTTAGACTAAGGAATTTGTATTATTAGAAATGAGCGAGGAAGACACAATTCTCTAATAGTGCAATGCAGAGAAACGGTAATGTACTAAGTAGATATAAAAAAAATATCAATAGGACAGTAGTATAAACTATATTAAATTATACATATCTGGACAAAGGATACATATAATAACTGGTACAGCTGCTGCGACCTTCCCCACTTCCTTGTCTGTTTGCATGATTTTCTTGATGCGAGCCTGTTAAGGAAAAAGCACGTTAAACATTTTTAAACTATTTACATGGATACATTTTGAGGATTTTTTTAGTGTTACTATTCTGATTCAGGACATGCTTTAACCTACCACACTACCACAATTTGCTGTTTTTTTTTTTTCCACAAAGTGCATATTAGGCTCTAAGTAATGAAAAGTAAATGCGTCTTATGTTATGCATTTGGAGAATGCAATGAACATTTGGGGGAAAAAAGAGGAGGTTCGCTGTTATCAAGCTACATTTTCTTTATTTTAATTATATAGATTAATCTAAATCAGATCGAAACAACTGATGCAACATCAAGAAATACAATAAAAAGACAAATTAAGTTTTTTGGCAGGTCAAAGGTGTCTCGAAGATATTGGGATGTGCTCCAGCTATGGATGCTTGCTCCCCGCCCCTAGGTAATGTCCTAAGTACACAACACCTATGGTACCTAGGATGTGTAATGGATGTAGCCCACTTTCAATAAAAAGGAGAATCACCCTATGTTTTAAACACAAATTAAGCTGGAATTGTAACATCTGTGGACTATTCAATAAGAAACATATGAGATAACATTACCGTTAACTCAGTAAAGCGGCGCTGTCAGCCTCGACTGAAATCTACCCGTTTGTTGGTTTTTTACGTCTCGTTACCGAAGACGCAGTTCCAAAAATTATATCGGTTCTCTTACCGGAGGAAACCTCGAGTTGTATTTTCTTTTCTTTCCAGGCATTTCGTTTGTTGTAATCCCCATAAAAGGTTACATTTCTGAGTAATTTGTGGGCTCTGTGCGTCCACGGCCATTTGTTTATCTTTCACAGGAAGTAAAGTGGGGTTGAGGGGGCTAAAAATGGACCAAAAAAGACGTTCAACCAACAGCGTATTGTTTTATCGAAATGTATTTTACAAAGGTTTAAATGCTTTACACTGATTATTTATCGTTCACTTACAAAGTATTGCTCTGTGTATCGCTGACATATTTACACAAATGGAAGGTAAATAAGAGCTGTAGACGTTTTGGGGTTTAATAAGCTTAACGCCTTTTGATTGCCTGGCAACCACATCCCAAAACTGTCAATTAACCAATAAAAGTAAAACAAAATGGAAAAGGACTTAATTCAAAGGGTACGCATCATCTTATATTAACATATAATCTCCAAATAATATTAAACCGAGTAAATTAATTTAGAAAACAGAGTTCCCCAAGATATTTGAAATAAATCGCATTTTATATTAATATTTTACGTTTTTTAAACAAACTTTTTCTTTGTACTCCATTGTGCTTGAGTTTCCTCCAAATATTGTCATACATTTCAAAATTGCCACGTACATTACGAACTACATTTCATAAATAAATATGTACTGAAGTTTGTACGTACAAAAATGTTTTAGAGGAAATGTGTTTACCAGGTTTTTTCTCTCTGTTTTGTGTGTCTGTTTTTCTCTCCTTTTGAGGTAGTCCTGTCTTGCAGTGCATACAGTACAGTAAGTGACACTCTAGAGATTGAGCGACACACTGTTTTCCCAGGCACTCATCAATTACAAGAGGTGACACATTAATTGGGAGCACTGAACTGGCTGGACTGGACCTGGAACAAGCAAAAGAGAAAAAGGGAGAGTGCACCACGACACCTGGCTAACTGCATACACAATTGCATACATAGAGTGAACTGTTTCCCTTCTGCTTATGGAGACTGCTCTGGAGAATCTGTTCCAGCCCCAAGGGGTCAGACGCTTAAGGTTGAAAACATCTGCTATAAAATAACTGCAAAAATAAAAATCTAACGTATGTTATTTCTATGCAATAGTGCCAATAAAATCACATATTTCCGTGTTACATCAGATTTTTGATTACTTGTCAATCACCATTAAGTTCACGTTTTGGTTCTCAAAATGTGTCCTAGAACACCTGATTACAAATCTTTGAAGTAGGTCAGTTCTTCAGACTTAAGAAATATCATAACTGTAGAATGAAAGAGACCAAATTATACAGTATATTTTATTTTGGCAGTAAAATTAAGAATGTGTGATCAATTACACCCCTAAATGAATTTACCTTAGATTACATAGAACAGCTCTGCTTAAATATATTTAATTCATTAAAAAATAAAGGAATAAAGTACGGATCAAAGGCACTTCCGATTCACCTGCCCATCATCATTAAGTCGCCCACTCGTACTCGAGGGTCCAGGAAACCTATTCCAGAAGCAAAAGGTAACGTTAAGAATTTTACACCCTGAATGGGATGCCACTAGAATCATGTATTGTTAATTGAAACCTCTCAGTATTAATAAATTATAGCGATCCCATAACTGTATCCCAAAAATATTTGAAAAAATATTGTATATGTATATATTTGATAGCTATACACAATATAATTCAACAGATTGGAGTTTTGCAACATAAGGTATCTTTGATTCAACCGGGTAAATAATTGTAGGCAAATAAAAACAAGTTCGCGATACAAAGCATGTGCATGAACGTATAAACGAGTTAGGAGATAATTTTAAAGTACATTTTTGCAGGGTGAACCACCTATTTGTATGGTGTTTAAGGTATACTGTATCTAACAGTTTCATATAGGAGCACACAGAAGCAAAGCCAGAGCTTTTGAGAGTGAAACGCGAAACAGAAGCATCCAGGTCACCAAAAAGAAACTTCTTCGTTCAGTCAGAATAACCAACTGGGGAAGTATCGGTGTAGCGTTTAGTATATTTTATACTGTACTTGTGCTGAAGCCGACTGGCCCGTGTGTCTGCCATTAACCAATGACAGCGAGCCATGTCGAGCTGTCCTGCGCACAATCGCTTGACAGTGCAGGTAGCGCGACCTCATTGTGTGTGAGCTTTCCATTGGGCCGGCTCAAGCTCTGTGAATAGCCATTGGCTGAAGCCTGTCGAGGCTGGCGGTGATTGGTCAGATAGAAGAGGTCAGGAAGTGCATTGCGAGGGGTAAGGGGGTATATCTGATGAAACGAGTAATGTAAAGCCGATTATTTTTATTGCCTTGACAAAACTACATCGTTTAAGTAACTAGCACGGCATGTTGAAATATTCAAACAGTGCTTCTGATTGACATGCAGCCTGAAGTGGCAAACAGGAGACTGTCTGGGAAAGGCTTGCTTTGATATAGCAAAACTGAGGAACAGTTTTACTGTCGTGTTAGCGTTAGAGAGATTAAATATTCTGTTTCATTGTTGCACCGAGTGAAACTTCGTGAAAAGGCAGTCTTTTTAATACCTTTGGAAACGGTGTAAATCACATATTTCCTACATTTCTGCGTTTAATATGACTGCAAAGGCATGGCTTCTGTTTACATTGTTGGTGGGACTTCTTTCGCATCTAGTGACAGCTGGTAAGTGTTCAATTACATTATTTACCGCCTGTTAGAGCAATTAGGCTTTTTACATTTAACTAGTTACATTATCATATAAGATGTTACTTCATTACCAGAAGAAGCTAAAGTTGATCTGTGGGTAGCATGTGCGTGGTTTAGTGTGCGGAGAATCACGATTGTTGTTGCATCTTCAGAAACTTAAAAATGATCACACTTGCCTCGAACGCCTGGGCTTTTAGATCAGTTGCACGAACAGTAGTTTTCAAGATGTCCTTGATCTGTGTTTGCTTTTCCTTTTGCAGAGGTAGAGCAACTGAATGATTCCCCCGAATCCAAGGTAATTCAGTTCTATATAATCAGTTGTATTTTGTACAGTTTATCTTTTCAAAACTGAAATTGTTATATATCATTTGTTAAAGAAGTTAGAATTGTTTTAAACATCAACCCAGTCCAGAACACTCTTTATGTGTGTCTGTTCTTATTTTGACAATAATGTCAGGTTCAGAATACACCCTTTGATTTAACAAGAGTTGCTGGATGTCAGAGGTTGGGATTGAGAGAGCACTGTTTTCTCTGTTTAATAACTGTAACTCCCGTGTGTGTAATTGAAAATAATTTAAAGCCACTAAGCAGGAAATATGGGAAGTGTTAAATCTGCCTGCTACTGTTTATTTTCAATTTCCTGTATAAACATTGAATTCATATTGGCGATTCCCAGTCATTCCATGAGCCAAGCGCAGAAGAGGAGGAGGTTCCCACGAGCAGTCGGATTGTTGCGGGACAGGTGCTGTCCCATAGGGAAGAGACATCGGAGGACACCAAAAGAGGGGAGAGTCAGTCCGATCCAGCCAGGCTGTCAGAGGGAGAAGAGAAAGAAGATCTTCCGTTACAGTCTGAGCCACAAGAAGAGAGGCCAAAAGAAGGTAGAACACACTGGCCCCCTACTTCTGGAAATGTGACGGAGTGGGCGAGAGTGCTTTTAACTGCTTTTGTTTGTATTCATGTGTTTCATTCACGCTACTGAGAATGTTTTTATTTTCTCAAAGTGCTGGTACATAAGATTTTTTTGTAGAAGATGCCTTCTATCGTTATGTTTGACGTTATTACTGCTGTGATGCTACAGCTGGCGTTTAGATTTATGTGTACAGTTTTAAGTTAACTCTTCCTCTTTTTCAAGTTTGACGCATCTGTTGGTTTCCACTTCCTGTGCATCTGTTGTGTTCCAGGTTTAAAGCAAAACCACTACACCCTCTAGTACAGGTTTAACTGCAACTGTTTGAGATCTTTTTCCCCCCTTTATTTAGCTTAAATTTCAGCCTACCCCAAGAAGTGAAATGCGTCTAGTTTTTAGCATCCTT